GAGGCCGGCCGGCCCAAAAAAAAAAAAAATTATTTTTGGCCGGTTTGACCGGTCGGCCGCCGGTTTGACCGGTCAGCCGCCGCATGATCGGTCTTGTTGGAAAGCATTTTTTCGCCGAAATTATTTAGAGGTGTTTTCGGAATTTTTCGAGGCTCGGTTTGGCCGGTAAATAGGTTTAAAGAGGGACATCTATTATTTTTAAAAAAATGTATAAATGACAAATTAGTCTTTTAGGTGCGGTAAATATCGAAAAGGGGCGGTGTTTAGCGGTTGACTATTTTTTTCCCAAATTCTACGCCCTAGTTGGTCATTTATATTTTTAATGATTAATGATCTTTAATCTAACTTTTCTCTATTCCTTTTGTTCTTTCCTTTATTCATATCTCTTTCATTATTTTCTTTTCTTTCTCCTTATTCTTCTCCCCTGCATATATTATTTTAAAGGAGAATCAATAGTGTTCTTACTTTTCCTCTTCGATGACTCGAAGTCATGACCTATTAGTCATCAGTGAAGTGGTTTATTATTCAAGTTGCGCTTCGTTGTCCTCTCCCGCATATACTTTCCCGATTCTTTTCTTATATTTTTCTTTCTTTTATCTCTCTTGTGCAGCCAATTTTTTTTTTTTAAAAAAGGTTTAACGAAATATTAAGAAGAGAAAACGCAATGAATATTGGTGGTTCCTCAAACGCCTTCGTCGGTCCGCCGATGTTTGACAGTGATCTTTCAAGTAAAAGAAAAAAGTGTCGACGATTGATATTTTATTCTTTACAAATAGTTGTTTTCAAATTGCTTGAAAAAAGTTTATTGTATTTTATTGTTTTTATAATATACATTTGTGTTTCTTTATAGTTCATTCAGTCGTTATGTATGTATAAAGTGACGGATCTAGAATTAGGGGAACTCGATTTTAAATGTTAAATAACGAAGTTGTAGTTTAGGTTGGAACACTCATTTCATATAAAAATTTACTATAAATATACATATTGATACGTGTACCATCAAGTTTTTTAAAATTTAGAATCCGTATAACCCTCAAACTTAAGAGAGAGAGAGAGAGAGAGAGAGAAAGAGAGAGATTTCATGTATTTATAATTTAAGGTCAACATCTATAATTTACAGAAAAATAAGTTTTTTGGTTGAAATTTTGTTTTAAATTTGAACTTTTGCACAACATTGATAGTATTTTTGTTGATGAAAGCTTATCAAATGAACATTTTTTAAGAAAAAATAAATTAAGTTAAAAATTTGTTATTACAGAAAAAAAAAGTAAAAATCAGCATTAAGAAATGTAATCCAACTATAAATACTCAGTTTTATAAATCACTAAAACGATTTACAATTTAGAGACCGAAAGAGTACATCATTATAAATATTTTCAAAAGCTTATCTAAAAATTTAAAATATAAAGATAGTTAGTATATTTTTCATTAAATAAGTAATATTATTAATTTAAATAAAAATAGCATAAGAAATAAGTTTTAACTAGTAATATACTGTAAGGTTTTTTTTACATTTCTATACATATATTATAGTATTTTCTTATATGTATATTGATTTTTAATAAGTTTTAATTATTAATATATTGTAATTATTTTTTTACATTTTTATACATATTGTGAAGTTTATATATATATATATATTGATTATATATATATATATATATATATATTGATTTTGTAAAAAAAAATTAGGGGGACCCACGGCCCCATTCTAGCTCGGTTATTGTATGTATATAACCAATTGATTTTTTTATTTTTTTTTTGTATTTTGTTTTAGGCATTCGTGTTTGAAGACGTAAAAGAAGAAGAAGAAGGGAAGAATAGATAAGATACCTGAAAGAGAAGAGAGAGAGAGAAGGAAGAGAGATAATAATAATAATAATAATAATAATAATAATAATAATAATAATAATAATAATAATAACAAAGTTTTCTATTGATTTTTTGAATTGGTTGTTGAATAAGTAGCTTTATTATTTTTTAAATTCAATATATTTCATATCTTTAATAGAATTTTGTTTTAATAGTTGAGTAGTTATGTGCTCGAGTCAAAATAAAGGGAAAATTTTATAACTGTCCTCCTTTAAGATTAATATTACAAAGTGGTTACCACCCACCCACAATACCAAATATACTCCAAAGTTGGACAAATATAAGAAAACATGAAAAATTTAAAGAAATTAAAAAATACAAAATTTGAATCGGCAAAAATTCAAAAGTCTAACAACTACTCTATCTCTTTCTCCCTATTTTTTCTCTATCTTCTTCGTTTTCTTCTTCTTTCTTCCATCTTCTTCGTTTTCGTCTTCTTTATTTCTTTCTCTTTATTATTCTCCTTTCACCTTTTTTTTTTCTATCTTCACCTTTTTTCTTCTTCTTCAAACCTTAATGTCTTAAAAAAAAGATTAGTCAATTAATTATAAAAATACATAATAATTCAATTAATTATAAAGCAACGTCAAATGAACAACAAAAAAATAATACAACAACAATGAAGCAACATAAAGGAAACAACAACAATTTTGAGAAATTTTAGTCTTCCATATTTGTGCTTGCCCCATAAACAGCCTACGTCTCAAACTATTCTAATAAGAAAAGAGAAGAAGCATTTCTATAAGTACATATCAAAGAATTTAATTCAATATATATCAAACTATTCTAATTATTATTTTCTGTTTAGTAAGAAAATAGAAGAAGCATATTCATCTTGTAACCTAAATTTTAAATGAATAGACAGATTGCACAACTTCAAAAAGATGAAGCTCCAAACACGATAAAAATATAAACACGTTAAAGTGAAGTTGAAACTTACTCAAAATAAAATTTCTAGTTCTTCGGTGGATGCTTAGATAATCACCGCAAAGAATTGCCTGAAGACCTTTTCTTTTGTGGGAAAATCACCTCGAAGAACTTTTAGTTTTTCTGTCTCGTTCGCACCATCGAGAAAAACGTTGGGTCATGAAGCAATGAATTTTTATTTAAATTTTGCGATAATTTTCTGTAAAAGTGAGATATTTCGAGAGAAGAAAAGGTGAGAAGAAAAAAAAAAGAAGCGAAGAAGAAGAATAAGAAACGTTTTTAAAGGATAGAAGAAAGAGAAAAAAATAAGAGAGAAGATGGCAGAGAAAGGTAGGAACGGTTAAGAAATCAGTTAGAAATACTTTTTACTAGTGTTTTAAAAGGAGTAAAAAAAGAATCAAAAGAAATCTATTTGTCTTAATAATATGCCAATGATTAACGTACATACATTTTTAAAATAGACAAGGGATGTCTTTATTTCCAAAATAAATCTTAACTATCCGAGTCCGTATTATGGTGGGCTTTAATGGGTTGAATCACGAAGCCTATGGGTTTTGTGGGCTAGCCTCAATACAACAAAAACGAAAAAAGAAAAACATAAAGAACGATAAATAAAATTATAATTCGACTTTTATTTTAAATTAGTAGCATTGTAGTATCAAATCATAATATTAAAAATTTTATATGCATAAAGTTTGTAAAATAAACGTTTAAAATTGTTAAATTCATACTCCAAAATCTAACACAATTTTAACTCAATTTTACTATCTTCAATATTATCAATATAATTAAATAATATCAAACATAACTTTTACACGTCACGTAATTTTTAAGTCATCATTCATCAACTTATATAATTTAAATAACCATCACTTCACATTATCGTTTTCGTATTTTTACATTAAATTAATTTTAGTTATTTTATTTAAATAATATTTCAATATAAACTCAAAATAACTACACATACAAACGTTTTCATAATTAACCATAATTTAAAAAAAAAAAAAACACACGTCTTAGGCGGATTTAATTGTATACAAGGCTTCAAGCACGGCCTAAATACCCAAGGCCATTGTCCGAAATAAGGATGCAGATGAGTCGAGCCGAGTTGAACATTGGTCTTATCGAGTAGGATTGAGGTTTATTTTTTGGCTGCTCGAGCTCGTCGAGTTCGACTCAAAATCAAAATGCTCGAGCTCGGCTCAAAAAATTTTAAGTGGAAAGGTAAAATTACCATTAAACACCTATGCTAATAAGAGGTATTTCAATAATTTAACGTGTATATCGAACCGCTCAACAAGACAAAATATGGACTGGAGCTCGACTCGAGTTTGGTTAAACTCGAACTCGAGTTGAGCTTTGACTCGAATGCTCACGAGTTGCTCAATTCGTTTGCAATCCTAGTTGGAAAGGAAAGAAAACAATCTTGTCCATATTTAACCAATACATAAAACTCCAGATTCACGTGTATGGACACCATTGGCCATCCAAAAGATAGACATATGAATTCGAAATTCCCCAAAAATGACAAAAAGAGGCCAACAGAATCTACAAAACCCAAGCTTTTACATAATTATAATTATGGCACTATACTACTTTTATATTTGACATTGGCCCTGTAACTGATAAACCTCAAACAAGGGGCCGGTGTAAATTAACCAGCGGCTAGAGTTCGAGTTAATGGAATTTGAAAAATTCATTTTTGGCAATAAGTTAAAAAATAATATATCAAATATAAGTTTATGCAAACATAAAAGAATTTGAGAAAATATCTTCATTTATTTATTTATCTATATATATATACATTTAATTCGTCTTTCATATTTTGTATATATGTTAGAAATATTTGCATGATCTTATTATGTTATTTTTTGTAGGATCTTGGACGTGCTCATGAAGAAAGAAGCCGACATGGATGGAAAGTAAATAGAAGAAGGAAGAGGAGTTATCTACTTTTCATGTTTCAACTTCAACCTATATATACCTATATTGAAAATCATTGAAGGTTTTTGATATTATTACTATTCACATTTTATTTAAGCATTCAAGTGAGAGTTCAAGCTTTTGTTCTTTGATTTGTTTCGTTGTTCAGCTCTTCAGTGTTCTTACACCATCGAAAAACTGAAGTTGTGTTTTCTTTAGTTTTTCATACTTTCTACATAAACTTTGTTTTAGTACTTAGGGATTAAGTACTGGCTTTACTCGAGGGATTTAAGTGTGTAAAGTCAACAAGACATGTGCAGAGAAGTAGTTGATAGGATCGATGTTAGGACCAACAACTCAAAACTCAGTTTTCCATCAAGCCCAACATACAAGTTCAAATGGGGTTTCATTCTAAAACCAAAATTATATATTGAAATTGGAAACTTTAATTTTTCGATGTGGAATTGAGTTTGCATACCATACAAGACCACATTGGGTCTCTCATTGAATGAAATTCATAAGATCCGACCATATTGTACTGTCGTTATAACCCACGGAACTCGCCGCCTGACCACCCTTTCACCAGGAAGACTTTCGATACAAGGCACACAGATCCACCAGCCATCCACCGGCTCCACGGGGAACATGGCACATCATCCACATCATAATTGGGCTACTAACCGTGGCTCTGATACCAATTTGTTAGGACCAACAATTCAAAACCTAGTTCTCCATCAAGCCCAATACACAAGCCCAAATGGGGTTCCATTCTAAAACGAATTGGCAGCAGAAGTTAGACTTGGAACCTTTAATTTTCCAATATGGGATTGAGTTTATTGAGTATAGTGTTGGCTAGGCTAGAAGAGAGTTTTAGTTGTATAAGTCCAAACTATACAGAGTACTGCACAGTCGATCCATTAATAAAAGATATTTGAGAGTTAGTGAGACGCTCTCCGAAGAGTTTTTATCTCTTGTTTCCGCTTCCGCTATTTCAACTCATTATGGCGTTGCAACATAGACATAATTTATCAACATTTCGTTTTTAAACACAGTCGAGCGCACTCTACGTAATATACCCACGTTTCAAAACTGTAACTCGATACCATACCACGAGTCCAACTCGATCCATTAACTAAACGAGTTAATAATCGAACTTGAGCTCGGTTTGTTTATCAATATTAACGAGTCGACCTCGAACTTTAAGAAAAGTCGAGGTATAACAAATTATATAAAAAGTTTTTTTTTTTTTTTTTCGAACTTTAACAAGTCAGAACGAGTCCAAATTGTCATATGAGTAAACTTTAAACAAGTTCGAGTCTGACTAAGCAAACTTTAAACTAGCATGAGACTCGCTTGTTTATCAAACGAGCACAATCAAGCTCGAGTCTAAACATATTGAGGTCACGAGCAACTCATTTCATTTAATGGCATGGTATAGAAATAGAACTGAAGGAAGGTAAATTCGCCAAAACTAATTAAAAATACGCAAAAACCAACTTTTTACATATAATTACAAATATGGCACAACAAAAACACTACATTTGGTATTGATCCGTTTACCACGGGAGAGAGAACAGTGGTTTTTAATTCCTTTCACTTTTCGTCACTTTTACCAAAGCTTTTTTATTCAGCTCATCAATGGCACTTGCTGCAATTAAGCTTCCCCAATTTTTCTAGGTTTTCTTTTTTTTTTTTGTCCCGTCCGGAATAAATCCGTCAATTTCTCAATTGCTCTCTTAATTCATGGCCGTAATGTTTGCTGTCTTTGTCACTGTAAATCCAATACTGTGAAACATCCAGTTATATCTATATAGATAAGTGCATATATACACACCCACAGATATATAGATACTGTTTTTTTTGTTTTAATATCTGTTTAATTAGGTAATAAAGATCTGTATTGTTTGTTCCCACGGAGTGAGTGTTGTTGTGTGAGGGCTAAAGAGAGGGAGAAAAAATGAGCTGGAGGAGAGTGGCGAAATCGTTGCAGGCGGTGGCCGCTCACAATTTGCTCTTGGGTTTCACGCTCTTGCTCGTACTCAAGCTCGATCACATAGTTTCATGCTCCTGGTGGTATATACGATTTTATTTTATTTTTTGGGTTTTTTTTAGATCATTTTGTTTATTGGTTTAATATGTCTGCTTAATTTTGGGTGTATTTATTTTTGTTATATGGTGGCACATGCATGTGGGTTTTTATTTTTGTGTAGTTTTTGGTGTTTGAATGTTCTGTTTGTTCCTTTTTCTATAATACGAATGTGAATAAATTGGTCGGGGGAGCGTCTCTTGTACTTGGGTTCTCTGAAAGAATTGGGGAAAGAGAAAGAATTGATAGTTGTTTTGTTATGGTTGATGAATGTTCGTTAGCTCATTCGTTTCTGCTGCAGTCTTCATTGGAACTGTAGAAACTAGAAATATTTTAAGTGCTGGCCACCGATACGAGATTTTGGAGTGTGAAATTGAACTTGTTTTGGGGGTGCGTGTGTGTGTGTGT